CACATTCCTATGTAGTAACTGAGGTTCCAGACCACGTCTGGCTTCTGGGTGACCTTGGGAAACATAGTCTACCTCTCTCTCTGTGCCCGGATCATTTGAAAACTAAAGGAATTAGATTACATGCTTGATCCCTACGGCCCAACTCTGGTAGTCCCAAGAAGGTGGTAGCCTGATCTTTGTGAAAAATATGAAATAAAAAGAAAAATTAATAGACATGTTGGTAGACTTTTTTAAAAGTCACTGAGTAGGATAAAAAGCAAACTCTCCTCCTTACCTTTCTCTGCAGGGTAAAAATAAAAATAGAAAATAAAGTCATTAGACTTGCTTTCATACTTCCATTTGACCAAAGAAGCAGAGGCAAGACTGGCACTCACTCGGGAGCCCTGGCGGGGGCTGCCTTCAGTCTCTGGGAACGGACGCTGCATAGGAGGGCGCACAGGGCACACGCTCCAGGGGCATCTCTCGGAAAGCCTCTTGTTTGTGCAATGCCCCCGGAAGTAGGGCTGCACCAGGAAAAAAAAAAAAAAAAAGGCCCCATGTTAACAGGATTCCAAAGATATGAACTGTCCAGAATAGGCTAATCCATAGAGACAGAAAGTAGTAAGTGGTTTCTGGAGCCTGGGGCATAGGACAAAGAGGGAGTGACGGCTAATGGATCCAGTTTCTTTTGGGGGGTGATGGAAATGTGTTGGAATTAGACAGTGGGGATGGATGTACAACTTTATGAATATACCAAACACTGAACTGTACACTTTACAAAGGTTGCGGGTGAATTATACCTCAGCAAAAAAATGCGGCGGCTTGGGGGTAGATCTACTTTAATAACAGAGGCTCACACAATGCAGTGGCCTGCCTTCTCTTCCCAGGAACAGAGCAAAGAAGTCGAGAGATGACAGCAATTCTATCAACAGCTCTTGACAATGAGAAAGCTGGAGTTAGATTTCAGACTGCCTATACAGGGTGGCCAAAAAGTCTGGAAACATAGAGGTAGAAGATTAAAGGCCCTGCTCCCAAGGGGAAATGATGTACCAGAAAATAAGAGTAACCAGTAGGAAGGGGGGCCTCCTCAGGCCCTAACTGCCCCTCCACGAGCGGCAGCCAGGCCTCCAGCCATCTGGGTTCTAACACGCCACAACCTGACCCGAAGCCAGGTACGCTGGGGTCCCACCCACAGTTTTCCCGGGGGCTGAATCATAAGACAAGCAAGGAAGCCATGGGAGCTTCTCCAAATTTGCCTTCTGTGCCCTGCGGCCCCTAAGCCCTGTGCTGACCATTACGTGGTGTGGGCCTCCCCGCGACGGAGAGGAGAGGAACCAGCCGGAGCCAGAGTGGACAGTGAGAAAGGCCGAGACTGGCAACAGTTGGGCAGGGTGGCCACTTCCTTCCAGAGGTCACGGCAGCCACCATGACCTTAAAATGTAAATTGTATCATGTCACCCCCTATTTAAAACCCATCCAAGACAATCAGAAAAGCTGCAAACTCCCTTCAACCACCTGGCAAAAATGCACACTGATCCCCTGGCCGCGGGCCCTGCGTCATGGCACCTGCACCTCCTGCGGTCTCCCTCACCTCCATCCAGGCGCAGAACTTCCAGCGCAGCGGCTCCGGGCACCCGTGGCTCCTCCGCCCGGCTCTGCTCTTGGCTGGCCTGGCACCTTCTCATTCCCCAAGCCTTAACTCAAACAGTACCTCAGATAAATATGCAGAGGGCATCCTTCCTGTTATTCCTTACCCCAGATCCTTGTCCATTTTCTTCACAGGGCTCACTAACCACACTCCAGCCACTACGGTACTATTTAAAAATTGTAGTTTACCTCAGGAGATGGTTCATTGAAGAGAATGGGGAGCGTGTCCACCTTAGTCCACAGTGCAGCTGAAGTGCTGCCACCGTGCCTGCAGTGCGGCTGGATTTGATTCTTGCTAAATAGATGAACTCGTATTTTTTAGGAGAACTCTGGCTGGGAGGCACAGGGAGAATTGTAAGAGGCAAGAGAACAAGTAAAGGGAAGCGGATCACAGATCACATTTTAAGTAACACGGATTCTGGTGCCACCAATAACACCATTTTCAACGATTTTCTGCCAGTCACACAATGACACTGGCTAAGCAATAAACAAACTTGATTAGACGAATGTTTAACACTGATGCCTCAGTGAGGTTACTCACTGGGGGTCTGTATGCTTTATACCGTGCACACAATCCCAAGTCACCTTGACAAAGCAGAGGTCAGGTAGGGTCCCAGGGTCAGCAGACCATGTTCCCCTCCCTTTCAGCCCATCAAGTGTAACAAGCACCGGTTACTGCTGCCACTCTACATTGGGGGTTCAAAACATGGGCGGACATTAGAATCCTTTACAGACTGTAAAAGATCAAGGAGCCTTAAACCTCTGAGCCCAGGCTGCACGCCAGACCAATTACCCCAGAATCTCTGGAGGTAGGGCCCACGCATTAGGATTTTTGAAAGTTTCTTCCAATAACTCTGATGGGCATCCAAGGCTGAGAACCATTGTTTTAGGGAAAAGTCCAAATACCCACAAAGAGCAACCTTCACTTAATTCCCTTATGGTCATGGAATGTTATCTTTAATTTAAAGGTGAAAGAGTTGGGTGTACCAAAAGGAAGCATCCTATGAATAAATACCACTCTAGAGATGACTCATTATTTCCTGAATTTTTGCTGAAATCATTAAATTCCCTTTATTAGATTTTTAGCACTTTTCCGGCTCCTAGTATAGTATACTACAAATGTCACTTTGCCTCAGAATATTCAAATAGAAAAGAAAGTATATATACTTGGTGAACAGAATAATTCTAAAACATGTAAAACCCAAGTGCCTGACCCACTTAGAAATATGAACATCTCTATCATTTCACAGAATTCTGAGCAATAGACAGGAGCATTTAGCTTCTTGGAAGTAAAAAGAGCCAATACTATTCAGTTGACTATGCAGGGAATGAAAGAATGACTACAAACACATGATTTAAAACACACACACACACACACACACACACGAAAAAAACTGAAATTGACTTGCTTTAAAATAGGACTAAAAAAGAGATTCCTGCTAGCATTAATCCACTTCAGGTCAAGGAGAAACATACTAGAGTTCTGTCTGCAGTCACATTTGCTTCTACCCACACCTGGATCTATGTAGATCCCAGAAACAGACTTTTACTTAAGGAAAGCCCACACCAATGACCTCATCACACCAACAGAGAAAGTTATGTTTTGCATGGGATTATGTGCCAAACGGTACTGATGTGGGAAAGGGTTTTATGCTGTTCAATATTTCCAAAAATCCATATTCCTTTCTGGTTCAAAATAATTCAAGGAGCTAGGCAGTTCCTAAAGTGCCACCCAGGATTTGTTCAAAATGGGATCAATAACCTCTAAAGCACAAACATTCTGGAATAATGCTTCCAACCTTTTTTTTTTCCCAAACTCTTATTAAAGGAACTCTTGCAAGTAGACTACACAACCAGAAGTAAAGGAATGTACTTTTATGTTATTTTGTCTGATAGCACAGACACTTCGTGCAAGTCCTTTTGAATCAGTGTTGCCTACAAACTCTTCATACATACCATATTATCAGTCGATTACATTTTATGGAAAACTGCTATTCTTGTACCTTTTTCAGTGATCTGAAAGCCAAACAGTTTTCCTAGTCTGCCCTTCTTTGGTATACACATGAAACCTGGATTGTACTTTAGCAGGTAACGCTGGAAGAAGGTAAATGTTTTTCTCAACATGAAGACAGGAGCTCCAAATTCATAAGCAAGTAGTATCCTAACGTAGCCAGACTTTGTGGAGTGCTTCTAAGCGTCTGCACCAGACGAATACAGTAACTATGTATGTAACTTCAATTTAATTGTTCAAATCAGAACTAACTTCTAAAACATGTTTCCTACTTTCTAGTCAGATACTAAATTCTAGCTTGTCCTGTAATAGACACAAGATGTAATAAATGTGTTATCTATGTGTTAGCCTCCCAGCTGAAAAGTTTTTCTTCCTTTATCTCTATGGGTGAGAAAAGTTGCACAGACCAATTCAATGAAAATAAAACCCACCAACTTTCTTGGGTAGAGCTACAGACTAAAACAATTCATTTGTGGCAAAGAATTCTGATTTGAATGAATGAAAACACGAAATTGTAGAATATTTTCAAAATAAATACTGTAGAGCAAAAACCTCAGATAGTAATAAATTCAGATCCTAATCTGATAAGATTCATTTTTAAGTTTAATTATAAAAGTGAGTCATTTATATAACCAGGGAGCTATATTAGGGATGCATCTTATAAGGTTGTTTTTTGGGGGGACCTGGGTAGCTCAGTCGGTTAAGCGTCTGTCTTGGGCTAAGGTCATGATCTCCGGGTCCTGGGATGGAGCCCCACGCCCTTTGGGCTCCCTATGGGGAGCCTGCTTCTCCCTCTCCTCCCCACTCATGCTCTCTGTTGCCATCTCTGTCTCTCTCTCTCAAATAAATAAATAAAATCTTTTAAAAAAAGGTTTTTATACTAGGGTCAATGTTTTCCATTTGACTGTAGTAAGTGGCTAGTCTTTTCAAAATCAGGAAGGCAAAATTCTCCACAGTGTCTGAATTAACAGTAATTCTGAATTAGGGAAGTCTCATTTGATGGGGTTTTACTAAGTATAAAGTGAAATACACATTAAAATAATTATGAAGGAGAAGGGATCAGCTCTCTGTACCCAGCTGAGATCTCCCCAGCAGTAAAGGCAGGACGACTTTGTTGTAGCACTTTCCATCGGTGCATGCATTACAAGGTACCCGCCCCGCCAGCATAATCCGATGAAATAAGCATTTGGGCGAGTCATCAGGAGATCAGGCATCAAGTTAGGGCTCTAAAATGTGTAACCTTAGGCACTTTCTACCCTCTGGTGCACTGACCGCTCTCCCAGGAAAATGGGGATGTGTACTAACTAGGGCAGCCCTGGATGGGGGATGGGGAAGGGAGGGTTGCTGAGGGGGAGCCACTTACGAGACGTAGGCTGGGTAGCCAAATCCTATCAAGTTGCAGAGGAGCGAGGCTCCATAACCGAACACCAGGTACAAAGCCAACAGCCCGATGACACCTGGAGACACGAGGAGAGAAGTGGGTCCGGTGGCACAAGACGCGCGACTCCGGACAGCCCCCGCCCTACCGCAAAGCTTGGCCTAGTGAGCGCGATCGAGAAAAACAAACTGCGGTAAGGCTGGGCCCAGGCCTTTACGCGGCTTTGCAGTCTGTCCGGGGATACCCGGGAGCCCCTACCTTCGCGCCCTTCCTCACGCCCTCCCTCCCGCAAGGGTCCCCCGCCGTGCAGCTCACCCGCCTAGAGAACCCCGCTCCACAGAGGATCTGGAGAGGCCCCGACTCCCCCGCCCGCGGCCCCTCCCTTCTGGGGGGGACACCCCTCTCCGTGCTGAGCTCCACCGACAGGCTGGTCGGACCGTGGCCGCGCGCACTCCCGCAGGAGGCCCCCGCCACTCGGCGCCAAGCCTGCGCACGGCCACTGGGACTCGGGGACAGACACGTCAGCGCCGGCCCTCCCCGCGCCCCGGACACCGGCCAGCGCTCCCCCCACCTCCGAGCCCAGGCGCCCGGGCGGGGTCTCCGGCCCCTGGCCTGCCGGGACAGCCAGATCGGTGCCGAGGATGCCGCTCGCCCCCATGTGTCACCGACACCATCTCCTCCGAATGCCCTTCCCGCTCGCTTCCCCAGCAGCTGCTCCCGGGGCCCAGCCACGGGCGGCGACCGCGCACCCACCGAGCGCGATGTATCTCCGGTTCACGCCGGTCCTGCCCTCGAGCTTGGCCAAAAGGTCGGTCATGCAGTTCTTCTCCTGCAGAAACCGGTCGAACCTCTGTCTCATGGCCGCAGACATGGCGAGGACCTTCGCGCCGCCGCCCGGGTTGCTCCTAGCGCCGGGTGGCCGCAGAGCCGAGTGACTGGGGCGGGGGCGGGAGGCGGGAAGCGGGCGGGACCCGCGCTTGTTGACGCGTCCCCCTCCCCGTGCGGCCCCCCTCCCCGCCCCGCCCCGCCGCGCCCGCCCCGCCCGCTCCGCAAGCCAGCGCCACACCCGGCCCCGGCCCCGGCCGCGGCCCGACCTGCGCCTCCCTGGCAGTGGAGAGGGTCCCGAGCTGCAGCGGCTCCCGGCGGGGCAGCCTTACTCCCGGAAGGTAAAGATGAGCGATGAGTCCTGTGAGCGCCTTGCGCAAATCGCACTAGTGCAAAAGCAGGTGGAAAGGGGGAGGCAGGCGCCCCTATTGCTCCCACCCGCAGCATAGTGGGACTGGTTTGAACGTGCCTGTCCTGCAGTGCTAACCCTGCCGAGGCATTTAAATCTAACAATTGAAATGTACGACCGCCCTTAAAGAACTCTGTCGGAGACCTGCTTTTTCCCTCGTTGCCGGAGCCCAGCATAGTTTTTATCAATAGTTTTTTTTGGAAAGACCCTTGAAGAGACTTAAGAGACCCTCCTCTGGGGGACACACTTTCCGAGAAAGTGCTGCACTACCTAAACCTTTTTGTGGTGGAGTTGAATTTGATTGATATCTGATATCCTGGAAACGTTTCCACCGCCACTCCCCCACCCCCTGCCTCCGCGGAGACAGTCGTTTGCCCTTGCCTAAATAAAAGCACAATTACCCTGAAGAAGGTAATCCAGCAATTAGGGCAGGGCGTCGCTTTACTGCCTTCAGAACGTCATGCTCATGCTCTTTCCTCCACCTAAACCCTGGGTCTGGTTATCTCTCACCATAGTATTTCAGGAAACTCCTTTTGAAATTATCTTTGTGACTCCTATGATATACACAGCGGGGTAGAGTTTTCCTCATTGCTTAAGCTTCAAAGCTCCCGGTTCCTTCCAGACTAGAGCTCCCGTTCCTCAGTATGGCCTTCCCTGGCCCTGCACACAAACTGGCCCCCAGCGTTTCCTCTTTGTCCCACACAACCTCTCTGCTCTTTCACGTTAACTACAGCACTGCCTTCCACTTACGCAAAAAATAAAAAAAATAATAACTTGCCCACTCCTAGCTTTTCCCTTTTATGTTAATTCTCCTTCCTCTTTTCTTCCCTAGAGATTCTTAGCTCAATTCTCTCGGCGCTCCCACCGCCATCCAGCCACATCAGTGAACAAATTAAACCAAATAAAAAATTATTGAGATTATTGTGATAGTCTCCCAACTGAGCTGTCCATTTCTGTCTTTCCACCCACAGTCAATTCTCAATGTGTCAGCCAATTGGATCTTTTTAAAATGTGGGTCAAATTGTGTTCAGCGCAAAATCCTTTTGCTCCCAACTGTTTGCTCTGCACTGTACGGTAGCTTCCCATCTGTCATAGGTGATGAGGTTTATCCCTCTCTCTTCTAATTTCATCTACTACCTGCCTCCTTGCTGTGCCTCAAACAAGCTGAATGCATTCCTGCCTCTGGCCTTTCAGTCTCCTAGCTCCATGGTTTTCAACTAGGAGTGATTTTGCCCTATACAGGACATGTGGCAATGTCTGGAGACATCTTTGGTTGTCAAACTGATGATCACAACTGGAGAAGTGGATGCCACTAGCATCTAGCAGGTAGTGGCCGGAGATGCTGTTAAACATCCTACAATGTACAGGACAGCCCTCCCACAAGATTATCCAGCCCTCCATGTCAATAGTACTGATATGGGGGAACTCTCCTATATCTCAAAAGCTCCACGTAACTACTTAACTGTCTCTCACTTTGTAGGTCTTTGCTCAAATGGCGCCTCAGTGGGGCCTTCTCTGATCCTGAATTGTAACCCCCAATGCTCTCTGGCACCTGTCTGGCTTTATTATTCTCCATATAACTTATTATGTCTGACATTCTATATGTCCTACTTTTTAAAAAATACATATTTTTAAATGATGTTGTTTTATTCATTTATTTTAATTCCAGTAGAGTTAACATACAGTGTTATATTAGTTTCAGTGTGCGATGTAGTGATTCAACAGTTCTATACATTACTCAGTGCTCATCAAGGTAAGTGCACTCTTGGTGGCTTAGTCAGTTAAGCATCTGCCTCCAGCTTAGGTCATGATCTCTGAGCCCTGGGATCAACCCCCATCGGGCTCCCTGCATCGGGCTCCATGCTCATCAGAAAGTCTGCTGCTCCCTCTTCCTCTTCTCCTCCCCGCACCCCATCCCCCACCCTGCTTGTGGTCTCTCTCTCTCATTCTTTCTCTCAAATAAATAAATAAATAAATCTTAAAAAAGGTAAGTGCCCTCTTTAATCCCCATCACCTGTTTCACCCATCCCCCACTCACCTCCCCTCTGGTAACCATCAGTTTGTTCTCTATAGTTAAAAGGCTGTTTTTTTCCTTTGTTCATTTGTTTTGTTTCTTAAATTCCACATATGAGTGAAATCATGTGGTATTTGTCTTTCTCTGACTGACGGACTTCGCTTAGCATTACGGTCTCTAGATCCATTCATGTAGTTGCAAATGGCGAGTGTAGAGGCCACTTTTAGGCAACAGGCTTGAGGAGTGGAAACTTGAGCAAGGCAGAAGAGCCCACAGTGACCACTGAGCTGACGCAAACAGGCTCATTAAGCCATAGGCCCTAACCAGGCACAGTTCCTAAGTTTACCAAAAATAGTAAAATTCCGTAGTTTCCCATATTCCGTTACCCTGCTCTATAACTCTAGCCCCTCACCACCACCTCATGGCAGCCTCTCCTTCGCTGTCTTGCCCACAGCTCCCTTGCCGTGTATTCAGTAAACTTCTGTCTCCTTTGTTCTGCCGTAGGTGAGTTCTTTCACCACCTGTGCTGTGGGCCCCCACCCAATCCAGATGCCCCACAGCAAGAGTTCAGTCATTTTTATGGCTGAATAATATTCCTGTGTGTGTGTGTGTGTGTGTGTGTGTGTATAAAAACCTCTGATTTATCCATTTACCTATCAGTGGACACTTGGGCCACTTCTATAATTTAGTTATTGTAAATAATGCTGCAGTAAACACAGGGATGTTGAATTAGTGCTTTTGTGGGTTTTTTGGGTAAATGCCCAGTAATGTGATTACTGAATCATATAGTAATTCTTTTTTTTTTTTTTTTTTAAGATTTTGTTTATTTACTTGACAGAGAGAGACACAGCGCGAGAGAGAACACAAGCAGGGGGAGTGGGAGAGGGAGAAGCAAGCTTCCCGCCGAGCAGGGAGCCCAATGCGGGGCTCGATCCCAGGACCCTGGAATCGACCTGAGCCGAAGGCAGACACTTAACGACTGAGCCACCCAGGCGCCCCGCCCCCCCCTTTTTTTAAGATTTATTTATTTATTTGAGAGAGAGAGTGAGCAGGGGTAGGGGCAGAGGGAGAGAGAGAATCCTTAAGCAGACTCCCTGCTGAGCATGGAGCCAGACATGGGGCTGGATCCCTGAGATCATGATCTGAGAGGAAATCAAGAGCCAGCTGCTTAACCGACTGAGCCACCCACACACCCCATGGTAATTCTGTTTTTAATTTTTTGAGGAATCTCCATACTCTTTTCCACAGTGGCTACACCAGTTTGCATTCCCACTAACAGTGCAAGAGAGTTCCTTTTTTCCCCCATCCTTGCCAACACTTCTTGTTTCTTGTGTTTTTGATTTTAGCCATTCTCTGACAGGTATGAGGTGGTATCCCATTGTGGTTTTGATTTGCATTTCCCTGATGGTGAGTGATGTTGAGCATCTTTTCATGTGTCTGTTGGCCATCTGTATGTCTTCTTTGGAGAAATGTCTGTTTGTGTGTTCTGCCCATTTTTTAATTGGATTATTTGTTTTCTTTGGTGTTGGGCTATATAAGTTCTTTGTATATTTTGGATACTAGCCCTTTATTGGATAGGTCATTTGCAAATATCTTCCCCCGTTCAGTCTTTTAGTTTTGTTGATTGTTTCCTTTGCTGTGCAGAAGCTTTTTATTTTGATGTAGTCTTAATAGTTTATTCTTCCTTTTGTTTCCCTCCCTCAGGAGACAATAGAAAAATATTGCTATGGCCAATGTCAGAGAAATTACTGCCTGTGCTCTCTTCTAGGATTTTTATGGTTTCAGGTCTCACATTTAGGTCTTTAATCCATTTTTAATTCATTTTTGTGTGTGGTGTAAGAAAGTGGTCTAGTTTCATTCTTTTGCGTGTAGCTGACCAGTTTTCCCAACACCATTTGTTGAAGAGACTGTCTTTTTCCCATTGGATAGTCTTGCCTCCTTTGTTGAAGATTAATTGACTGTTTATTGATACTGATTAAGTATCAGTTTATTTCTGGGCTTCCTATTCTGTTCCATTGATCTATGTGTCTATTTTTGTGCCAGTGCCATACTGTTTGATTACTACAGCTTTGTAGTATGACTTAAAATCTGGAATTGTGATATCTCTGACTTTGTTTTTCTTTTTTAAGACTGCTTTGGCTATTAGGTGTCTTTTGTGGTTCCATACAAATTATAGAATTGTTTGTTCTAGTTCTGTGAAAAATGCAGTTGGTATTTTGATAGGGATTGCATTAAATCTGTAGATTGCTTTGGGTAGTATGCACATTTTAACAATATTTATTCTTCCAACCCATGAGCATGGAATGTCTTTCCATTTCTTTGTGTCGTCTTCAATTTCATTCATCAGTGTTTTATAGTTTTCAGAGTACAGGTCTTTGGCCTCCTTTTATAGGTTTATTCCTAGGTTTATTCCTAGGTATATTATTATTTTTGGCACAATTAGCAATGGGATTTTTTTTCTTAATTTCTCTTCTACTGCTTCATTATTAGTGTATAGAAATGCAACAGATTTCTGTACATTGAAGGAAACAACACATGTTGGCAAGGATGTGGAGAAAGGGAAACCCTCGTATGCTGCTGGTACGAATGCAAGCTGGTACAGCCACTCCAGAAAACAGTATGGAGGTTGCTCACAAAGTTAAAAGATAGAGCTACCCTACGACCCAGCAATTGCACTACTAGGTATTTACCCAAA